TTTCGCGAATGCATCTTTCGAACTAACTAATGAACGACGTGATAGACCACCACTTGTTACATTATATGTAAAACCAGTAATATCTCCAATAACATTTTTTATTAATTGTATCGAACGTAATGCCATTAATGTGACTGATTGATGATCAGTCATCTTGGGATTCTATGGAAAGAAAAAAGAAAATTTTTTTGGAACATTTTTCAAATTACAAAAAGAATACGAAAAGGCGTATTATGTCAGCATGAGTCCCGCTCCTCCCAGTACACTGAGTTGTTATAAACTTTATTTAATAGAAGAAATGTTGAAAAAATTAGTACAATTATGAGCAGAAAGAGGCGAGTCCATTACATCTTAACGTAAATTGACTGAGAACAGAACACGGATACATATATAGAGACGATACACGACGACAACATAAAAAAGAGAAAGTAATGACAACTACAGCAATAATAAAAAAGAGAATAACTGATGAACAAAGAGTAGAAAAGGATATCATGAGATTAGTGTCTTTATGTGCCACAATTACCTGTAATTACGATATTATATAGGTCATTCATTTCTGTTACATTTAAAGATGGTGTAGGTTTTAGAAAGAGAATGTGTTCAAGAGTAAGGGTAGCGTTTACCAGAACATTGAAGTCGTTTTCAAAGATAGTTCGTATTTGCTAGTAATATTGACACTCGAAGAAGAAATGTTGTACTGTTTCAGCCTTCTCACAAGCATACTGAGAACTAGTAACTAAGTTTTGCTTGTATAGGTGATCATTCAAGCGAGAAAAATTTACGCGCATTTGATTCTTTTTCTTTTTTGTTCTTTTGGTTTTTTATTTTACTCTAACTCATACGGTAGTTACTGTTCTCAAGTTATTACTTCTCTGTGACTGTCCATGGTCTGTGTTGCTGAATAAACTTTGATTTGATTTGATTCGATTAAGAATCATGTCATATTTTCTTTCAATGTTTTTGCATCTCAGCCATTTATAGGAAGGAAAAAAACAATCGTTTACTGCAGAACGTTCTTAACACATTCACTGTCGTATACGTCGAATGACGTATTCACGTCATATATTTCAGCAGATGTGGCAGTGAACGGGTTAAAACGGAAATTGTAATAATAGTAATAGGTAAGGCATTCCATTGCTCAATTATCCATGGAAAAAAACAATAAACAATAATACATATTATACGTTCTACTCTAACATGTAATAATTCATAACATTTTTTTTACCTAAAATATATATAAGTATAAGTTATTGAAAGTCATTTACATTATCAGTTTGTTCATCCCATACTAAAAGTATGCAAGCAGTTGTTTTATCTGCAACAACAGCTGTTGAAACATGTGTTTCTTCCTTTAACCCTGTTCGTTTATTATACCTTTGTATTAATTTTTGTATTAATTTTAATGTGCGTAGTTCAATTTGAGAGGAATCACTTGCACAGAAGCCGTCTACAAATAACAGTATATGTTTCTTCACATCGTACACAGACAAAACATACTTACCACCGAAACTTCCTACCGGAAGTAGCGACTTTGGCTGAAAATGCCAGTTTTCAAAATCGATTTTCTCCTATGGCATAAGACGAATTTTGGAAATATTTGGTGCATAAGTAGTTCCAACCTTGATCTATCAAGAGATGAAAAAATTT